GGGCTGAAATCAAGGGCTGCATCCCCTCTGGGGGCTTTAGGGAAGAGTCTGGTTCTTTTCACTTTTAGCTCCTACAACCTTCCCACAGTTCTTGAACACAACATCTCTACTCTATCTCCAAAGCCAGAAGAGATGGCTGAATCCTCATGTCACGTCTTAATGGTCCTGCAAACTCAGCTGGGCACCTCCCTCACCTTTTAGGACTCACAATCATAATTGCGAATGATATAAAAAGTAGCCCCCACCTCACCTGTTAAAATGGCTAAGAGCAAAAACACAAGTGTCAGCTCCTGCTGGCAAAGATGTGAAGCATGGAGAACACTCCTCCTCCATTGCTGATGGGAGTGCATGCTTGTACAGCCACTTCGGAAATCAATATGGTAGTTTCCCAGAAAACTGAGAGTCAGTCTACCTCAAAACTCAGCTATACCACATCTGGGCATATACTCAAAGGATGCATATATCCATCCTCCCACAAGGACACTTGCTCAGCTATGCTCATAGCAGCTTTATTCATGATAGTCAGAACCTGGAAACAACCTAGATGTCCCTCAACTGGAGAATGGATAAAGAAAATGTACATTTATACAATGGAGTATTACTGAGCTATTAAGAACAAAGACATCATGAAATTTGCAGGCAAATGTATGGAACAAGAAAAAAAATCAACCTGAGTGAGGTAACCCAGACCCAGAAAGACAAACATAGGATGTACTCATTTATTAGTGGACATTAGGTGTTAAGTAAAGGTTAATCTTGCTACAATCTATAGACCCAGAGAGACTAAGTAAGAGGAAGTGTTCAAGGGGAAAGCATGGGTTTCCTTGGGAAGTGGAAATAGATTTTATGAGAGGACTGGGTGCAGGTGGGGGTGGGGACAGGAGAGATCAGGTGGGAAGATGGAGGGAGAGAGCGCTGGAAGATCCCACTGGAATTAGAGACCGAGTGCAATGGGAAAACCCTGGAATCTACGAGGGTGACCCTAGCGAAGACTCCTAGTAATGGGGTATGCGGAGTCAACTGACCATCTTCTGTAACCCGGCAAGGCTTCCAGTGGTGGGGCTGGGACATCAGTCCAGTCACAAAACCTTCTGCCTACTACATGCCCTGTTTGAAAACTGTGGAGGGGTAAAGGCGGTGCAGAACTTGTGGGAGTGACCAACCAATGAATGGTCCAACTTGAGACCCATAACATGGGAGGGATCCCATGCCTGACACTGCCTGGGTGATGAGAGAAACCAGAGGCTGGACAGTCTAGAGACCTCAACCCACGTTCCTGAAAAAGACCTCTTTTCTCCTTCACTCTCTCAAACAAAATCAACCTCAAACTCAACCCCCCCTTCTACTTCCTGTACATCTCTGTACATTCTCCTGACTTCCTCTTATTCTCTGTGGTTTTATCCTGTTCACTTCCTGTCAAATGATTGCTTGCTCTACCTCTTGACTTATGGTTGACTTTATTTAACCCTGCTTACAATAGCCAATCAGAAAGCTCTTGGATTAAAAGGGTGTTGTAGTTACCTTTTACATTTTGCTCTTTAGGAGCCCACCACCCAGTTCCCAAATAAATCACATGGAGGATTATTCTTTTTTATGATTGCCTTAGCTTGGCTTGTTTCTTGCCAACTTTCCTTCAATTATCCCATCTACCTTTTGCCTCTGGGCTCTTGCCTTTCTCTATTTCTCTTTCCCTTTCTTTACTCCTTACTCCATGGCTGGCTGTGTAGCTAAGGGACTGGCCCCTGAGTCCTCCTCCTTTTCTTGCTCCTAGATCCTTCTTTCCAGATTTCTCCTTGTATTTATTTTCTCTGCCTGACAGTTCCGCCTATCCGTTCTCCTGTCTTGTTATTGGCTTTTCAGCTCTTTATTAGATCAATAAGTATTGTAGACAGGCACAGTAACAGCTTTATAGAGTTAAGCAAATGCAACATAAAAGAATACAAACACATCATTAAATAACTGGTCCACAGCATAAACAAATATAACACATCTTAAATTAATGTTCTAAAACAATGTGAACTAGGAGTGAGCTACATATTTTTTTCCAATAAATAATGCAATCTGGGAATTCACAGTGTGATCAAATATCATGTAACTTGGGTCATGTGATGTTTTGATGCATTGTATCATGTTCAAATTAGGTTAAACATATTTATTTCCTCAAACTTTCATTTCTCTTTGGTAAAAATAATCAAAAATACTTTCTTCTACACTTTTTTACATTGCCATTATCTATTGTCGCCGTACAATGTAGTGGAATACCAGAAAGTACTTTTCCTATCTAAAAATAGCACAGAACGTTTTGATTAACTTTCCTCTTCCGTAGTCTTCCCAGCCTCTGATAACCATTAATCGACTCTAAATTTCTAGGAGGTTGACTTTTAGATTACACACAAGTGTTATTTTACAATATTTTTATTTTAAATCTTTGCTATCTTTTAAAAACATTTTATTGAAAATAGTTTTTTCCTTTTACACTTCACCGCCTGCCCAAATCTATAGCCTTTCTCTCTCTCTCTTTCATGGGAATATGAAAACATTTTTTAAAAAAGGATAAACTAAAGTAAGATAAAAATAAAAATAAAAAAGGAGACAAGAGCAGGACCAAACAAACCAACAAGCAAATGCTCAAAATCAATTATAAATGCAAAAACACACACATAAATCCCCCAAAACACAAAAATCATAATATATATGCAAAGACCTAGAAGGTTTTAAAAAAAAAGTCCTTATGAAGCGTTATGCATCCAAGAACCTCCAAAATGTCACTGGGTTTGTTTAACGTTGGCCATCTATTGCTGGGTATGAGGCCAGGCTTTAAGAGTGGTCTGCATACCCAGAGAGAATCTGCTGGAGAAGGTTTCCGGGTTAATGTTCCTTGGGTTTTCTTGCAGGTGTCTAAACTGTTCAGTTTGAAGTTTTCCTTCCAGTGTTTTCTGTAGGATCGGATTTGTAGATAGACACTGCTTTAGTTTTATCGTGAAATATTTTTCTTCCTCATATATTGTGATTGAAAGTTTTGCTGGTATAGTCCTCTGAGCTGGCTGGTATCATTGGTTTCTTCCAGGTTTTAGAGTATCCATCCAGGTCCTTCTGGCTTTTAAAGTCCTTACTGAGAAGCTAGGTGTTATTCTAATGGGCCTTCCTTTGTATATTACTTGGTCTTTCTCTCCTGTAGCTTTTAATATTCTTTCTTTGTTCTGTACAAAGAAAATTTAATGTTCTGATTACTATGTCATGGAGAATCTCTTTTCTTTCTTTCTTTCTTTCTTTTTTTTTTTTTTTTTTTTTTTGGTGTTCTGTATGTTTCTTGAACCTTGGTAGGTACCTCATTCTTTAGGTTAGGAAATTTTTTTTTCTATGATTGTGTTAAAACTATTTTCTGTGACTTTTGTCTGAGTTTCTTATCCTTCTTCTATTTCTATTATTCATAGATCTGGTCTTTTCATAGTGTCCCAGATTTTCTAGATGTTTTATAACCGGATTTTTTACATTTACCATTTTCTTTGACTGAGGTATCCATTTCTTCTTGTCTTCAATACTTGAGATTCTCTTTTCTATTTCTTGTATTCTGATGATGAGACTTACCTCTGAGGTTTTGGTTTGATTTTCTACATTTCATATTTCCAGTTTTATCTGAGTATGAGTTTTCTTTAGTGATTCCATTTTTACTTTCACGTCCTGTTTGTTTGTGTTTTCTTAATTTTTTTTTTTTGAGACAGGGTTTCTCTGTAGATTTGAAGGCTGTCCTGGAAAGTTCTGTAGACCAGGCTGGTCTCGAACTCACAGAGTTCTCCTGCCTATGCCTCCTGAGTGCTAGGATTAAAGGTGTGCACCACCACTTCCCAGTTACGTTTGAGTTTTTATTATTGGATTAATTCATATGCTCGTTAAGGTCTTTGAGCATGTTCATAACAGCTATTCTGAAGTCCTTGTCTTATGCTTCAGCTACACTGCATTTCTCAGGACCTGCTGAAGCAGGCACTAACTGCATTTCTCAGGGCCCGCTGTAGTAGGTGCTACATTGCATTTCTCAGGGTCCGCTGTAGTAGGCGCTACATTGCATTTCTCAGGATCCTCTGTAGTAGAGCTGGGTAGCCAAGATGAGAAGGGTAGTCTCCTGGGAATGGGGGCAGAGAAGGAGAGGCTCCAGCAGGCAGTCTGCTGCAAAGGTAGGGAGAAGACTGGGGCATTGGAATTGGCAGACAGGAGGGAGGATGAAGATGCCTACCTGATTCCACGGTGAGGGTGACTAGGTTTCCAGGCAGTGCTCCCTCGAATTGGCAACTGTGACAAAGGGTGTTTGTGTGTGGGATACTGGGGGAGACTATCTAATTGTCCCCCAGGGATGAGGACAAAGGTGAGGATAATACTGAGGAATTGGAGGACAGGAAGGGGAGGAAGAGCACCTGATTCTGGACTCTATTCTTCATAAGTTTAAAAAATTCTTATTGGCTCTTGCTATTCCAGATGCATTGTGGAAATTATAAATTTCTAGGAAGTTTCTCAAGACTACAGACAATGCAGCACTAGAGGTGGAGACAGGAAGGGATATGGCTTGGCGGAGAGAGGAATATAAGGCAGGAGGAGACAGCCCAGTCTACCCGGTCTGTCTACCCACTTGCAGCCTTTCTATCTGTGAGTGTATCTATTCTTCCTTTCTTCAGCACCCCAGTCAGGCCTAAGTCCTGGAGGTGAAGCATGACATCTTTATATATCAGATCATCAAATTAATATTAAATTCTATGGTCAGAAAACTTCCATAAGGGCACTAATATGCTGGAAAGCTAAACGATATACTTAATGTCTTATTGAAAAACTGTAATAAGATAAAGGGATTTAGCTAAAGTTCAAATGTGTCCATGTGTGCTTTCAAACAAATTTTGAACTAGCTTTTGTAAAATTAACAATTTTCCTTTTATTGACCCTTTCCCGGCACACTGCAGACTGACAAACTATCTGTTACATAAATTTGGCATGGAAAGAAGACAGACTAGAAGGTGGCTATGTAGCTTTTATTCATGACATTTGAATCCTTAAGCTCACACAGAAATTTATTTCATAAATATTCTTTAGATATATCTAGCTCTTCTAATTGATTTAATTATGTTAGCCTGCTTTCTTACAGTCAAATCCTTAGCTGAATCATAAATGGAATGGAAATATAGTTAACATTTTTCAGATGTACTTAAAAAAGAGGAAGGAAAACTTTGAAAGCAGAATACTAGAAGCTAGTAAAATAGCTCACTTCATTAAAAAAGATCCATCTTCTACCAAATTTTTTACATATTATTGAAAACTTTACCCATATTTAATATTGCCCAGAGGAAAATAGCTTGTTATAAAATTTTTCTGCTAAACATTTTTAAAACCAGGAAGAAATCATTACTTCCAAAATATACTTTGTTTGGTTAATTCTAGACAGGAATTACTAGTTTCTTCAAAACCAAAATAATCAAAGCCAGAATGACAATATTACCCAAATGATGTCTTTGCCATTTCTTGAAGACACGCTGTATTCTTTTCCTCATGCCGAGGGATTATTGGAAACTATGTGTTTTCACCTGTGATGATGGACTGACTAAGCGTGGACCAGCATAAATCAAAACCCTTAATGTTCTCCAGCTAAGGAAAATTTCAACCAAATCCAGTGTGTTATGATGAAGGATACTAAAAGCAGGGAGAAAGGAAACTTGGAATTGCTCAGCATAACCTAGTTGGAGTTTCATATGGTCAACTGAAACAGGTAAGAAAACCCAAAGATTTCTCTTATAGCCAAGTCTAGGGAAAACACAACAGGATCTGGAGAAGGCGTGAGATAATCGCTTATCAGATTCACAGTGTGCGGTGGTGTTTATAACACAGGCGGAGGAGAGCTGGCGGGGGGGGGGGAGGGCTTCTAGATTAGTTCTTAATGGGAAAATGGCAAAGCACCAGAGAGGAGCCTCAGCTGCGATGACTGAGAAGGCAGGCTGGAGGACCACTGGTCTTCCGATATTTCATGACCGTGCAAATGAAACTCTCATCACTTAGCGTTTACTGATGCTCTGCACAGTCCCTGGACCTTCCTGAATAAAAGGGGAGAGACAGGCTGAAGCTCAAAGGGACTATCTGGCTCGGGTTGGATGGAAGGTTTCCGCGACTGTGAAGTCATGTGGGTTGCACAGAGGGTTCTGTAGACCTTCTATGCCTGGATACCTGTAAAACGAGAACAGGGTCTATCTGGAATGTTGTGGCATGGTTGGGGAACAGGAAGGATAAGTTAGGGATCTCTGAAGTTCCTTCCATTCATCCTAACTCTGAGGAAAGAAATAAAAAAAACATTCAAGGAAGAGATCAACAGCCTAAGAAGCAGAAAAAGAATCTAGATCCGCAATTTAGTCTGTCCTTTCTATTACTGTTTGAAGAAGAGTGTTGGTCCTGCTGCCATGATTTGGCTGAACAAAAAAGGAAGTCAGAGGCAAAGGAGGCCTGGATGAGGGGCTTGGAGGTCATGTGGGGGACATAAATGGAAGAACTAAGGTTCTGTTTCTTCAGTGCATCCCCAGTTTAAACTGTTACCCCAAGGGCATATTGAAGATATCTCACTAGATGGCTGATATCAGGATCCTATTAAGATAAAAATATATGGCTTCTGACCTCAGAGTGTGTCCAGACTCGTGGATATGTTGTTTATTAAAATTATCAAAATCTAAAAAAAAAATAGCTGATTTCTAATCACCTCTTTTGGAGAGGCACAACCTACTATGAAAGTTAAAATGTTTGCCTCCCCCAAATAATTAGTAGTCACCTCACCCTCAACAAGAATATATGAGCAGTTGAATATGGTGGCACATACCTTTAATCCTAGCACTCAGGAAGCAGAGGCAGGATGAGTTCAAAGTCAGCCTGGTCTACATAATGAGTTTCAGGACAGTCAGGACTATGCAGAGACACTGTCTCATAATACATGAGCTGAGCTCAATGAGGAAACGATGGGTCTGTCTGAAGGGGAAATCACTAAAGGAAACACACACACATACACACGCACGCACGCACGCACGCACTTTGCCTCTGGCTGGAGGATCATCACACGCTCATGAATCAGCATTCTTATGTATTGTTTGCAAATGAAAAATTCCTGCTCCTTTTCATTTTAAGTGGAAAGGTCTCACTCCTTTTACACATCTTCATCTTCCACAGCAAGGGATTCAATATTGGGGACTGGGGACCTCTGATAACACTAAGAAGTGAAGTAGACATGCTTCATATTCTATAAACGGTGCATGTATTGAATCCCAGAGCTTAACGATGAATTATGCAACTTGATTGGTTCAGGCAGATAACCCCTGAACCCACTGATTAGTCTTCGATTGAACATCCACATTTTTTAACATGATTCAAGGAGGGTGCCTCATCACTGTGAACACTGTTACTTTCTACGCGTTACCCTGATCTCACAACGAGGAAACGAGCAGAATACAATCCTCCAGAATATGGGCACATCCCATAAACCAGCTTAGGTTCTTTAGGAATGCCAGTCACATTACTAAAGACAGAACACACACACACACACACACACACACACACACACACACACACACACAGAGGAAATGATCATCTATCAATGGAAATGAAGATAGTGACACTTAGATACAATGTGTAGTTTTTGATTACATCCTAGACTTTTTTTAAAAGAAAAATCAACGACAATCTTCTGAGGCAGAATTTGAATATCCATTTCAGGCTCTTGGAGCGGATGCCACTGAAGATGGATAGGATACCATCCTCATTACTAACAGGAGGGGGTGGTAGAGTATTTCAAAGCTTTATGATGACTGTAACTTGGTTTTCTGATGGTTCAGAAATGAGTGCATTTATGGTGAGAAAGAAACGAGGTGACACGCTAACAACTTGCTACACTTAAAGGATAGGGTGCTCGCAATCTTTCAACTGTGAACATTCCCGAAGTTAAAACAAATGCAGAAAAGCAGGCAGAAGAAGGTTAAAAGACAGAAACAGGCCTGACGCTGTCCCAGGGGCTGCAGGGATCGTCTGTTCACAATATAGACATATGGAGGATAAGGTAAGGCAAAGGCTTTGAAACAGTCCAAGAAGATTTCTCCTTAGAAATGCCAAACAAAGTTCTGTAGAAATACGAACACCTCATTCTTCTAAAAAAGCAGAGCAATTGGCTAGACTTTCCTCCAAGAGAGGACTAGTGCAATTAACAATACAAGCCAGAGAAAATCATTCTAAGAAGTTTAAAAAAAAAAATGGATTTTTTAAAGGTGGATAGAAATTTCACATACACAAACACTGATGGAAAATAATTAGGAATAAATGTCAAATGTTTTTAGCGTCAGGCTTCCCCATTGGCTAAGCACTACTGGAATGTCAAATGTTTTTAGTGTCAGGCTTCCCCATTGGCTAAGCACTACTGGAATGCAGGCACCTATTCAACTTCTCACTGCATGAGTGAGCCCTGTAGTTGTTCAAGGTACAAAGCAGCAGAGTCCTCAAGGCCAAGGCTGCCATTTCTCTTTGTCACCATCCAGCGCAGCCATGAACTGTGTTTCTCTGTATTGCACAGGTCAGGAATTCGGGGCTTTGCTTCTCTGGACCCTTAGCCAGATATGCTTCTAGGCCTATCTTGGTCTCTAAAAGTTACTTCAGGAGAAAAGAAAAAGTTCTTGTAGATTAGAGCAAGTCAATAACAAAAAGATGTAGCAGTGTTGGGTTTCATAAGACAGCATCCATGAGACAGGAAGTAAGGGTTGTCCTAAACATGGTCCCATTATGTACTCCATATAGTCAGCCTTTTCATCGTTAGGCAAAGATGCCATGCTTTCTAGGATTTTGTGGCAGTCACAAACGGCTTTAACATGTTATAGATACTAAGTAACATCAGATTAGCTTAGTCATCTTGTTATTACATTAACTGTAAGAATACATTCATATCTACTTCCCTCCACCAACAGATACTTTATTAAAAATCAGACGTCATGGGAAGTATGAGTACTTCTTAGTCAAGCTGTCGGAACCACAGCTCTGTGAATGAATCAGAGAAGGCAACATTTCATTTCCTCAGGCTTCCAAAAGCAGGAGATGCACAGAACAGTTATTCTGATGGCCGGAAGGAACGCCTTGGCTTTGAGGAACACCTTAGCGACTGTAACACACCTACTGCACAGAAATCAATTCTGTATCTTTCTAGAACAAGAGATGGAAGGACAATGGGCAAGAGAAACACACACACACTCATACACACATGCGTGCACACACACACACACACAGAGTAGAGAATAGAGAGAGATAAGAGAGAAGAGAGATTGAGGAAGAGATGGAGAGGGAATGGGGAGGACGGGGAGAGAAAACAGGAATAGAAGAAGGGAGAAAAGGGAGGAGGAAAAATGTCAGCTGAGTTCAGAAGCTCTGGGGTCACACTGGGAAGGCACATGTCAAGTGCATTGATCTACACGTACCAAACATCAACAGTCTTGTCTTGTCACTGAAATCCTAACACTATAAAATGTCTGGTCAGCCAGGACTCACTACTCCTCAATAAAGAACAAACACTGCACAAATCTGGCTCAGGGACCCCAGTGGTCGTTTGTGACTTTAGTTTTCTCCTGTGGGAAATGGGAAAGTTTATCTTTGAGGGACTGTGGCTACCAAGAGTCCATCCTGACCAGGACAAACTGGTAACACACCAGTTTATTTCCAGACTCCTCCCAGCGGTTAGCATATGAATGGCCTGTCTGGGGCACAGCTTGTGCCCTCCATCAGATGGTCCCTGGTGAAACCACCGCTGAGGGAAATGCCACGGATGCCACCAACAGAACTGCAGGCCCCTCCCAGCTTCAAGCCCCGTACAAGGTTAAGCCTCGGCCCAGAACCTGGGCCTGCAGGGACTCAAGGAGAGGTGGGATAGGAAAATGGTTATTATATGTGGTATTCCCCAAGTTTGATTGGTTCTTAGAAACATCAAAGACAGAGAAGTTAGTCAAGAAGTCTGATAAGACCTAAGCGAAAAGAACAACGAAAAACCTCTCAGTCTCAAAACCTGAATTCCGTGAAGCCTGGGGGGCAGGCCACAGGCATGTGTGACGTGGTTCAAGTGCAGAGGCCGCTCCTGCACTATCCTCAGCCTAAGGGGTCAAGGCTGGTCCTTCATGCTGTGGTCTGCCTGGCCCACAGGCCCTGGCTAGCAGCACTTAGAGGGTTAAGAGCACACAAAGTGGGTAGGAGACATCTTTCAGAAGTCCTTGTGGGGCTCCAGCTTTTCTGCTCCTGGGAGCAAGAACCATTTCAGCCAGAGAGGGCCACTTCCTGTCCCACGGGGACTCCTGGGAGAAACTGTTCCTTTCTTCCGGTAGATGAGGTGGGATGTCAGTGACACATCCTGGTTGTCATCTCTTTCTGGAAAGCAAGGAAAGAAGGGCTGTTAGGGGGCAATAAACAGGGCAACGACAGAAATACATGCGACATTTCCCTGGAACCTTTAAACAGAAGGTGGCAAGCCCGAGCCATGTTCCATTTGGTCTGGTAGGCTTGAGTGTTCTCTCTCTCTCTCTCTCTCCATCCATCCATCTTTCTATCTCTCCTCTTTTCTTCCTTCCCTTTTTCTCTTGAATTAAGGCACTGTTTAAAATATTGTACTCTCTTGTCAAAAATCCAAGTGACTTGCTTTTTCTGGGGAAAAAAAAAGCTAGATGTGGAACTCCGGAGGACTTGGAATTGTAGCACAGCCTTCCTCTCTGGACAAAGAATGGCCTCCAGTGTCCATCCCCACCCGTTTTGGTTGTCCCTCCAGGGAGAGCCAAGAACAACTTGCCAACTGGTATGATAGCGACTTTGGGTTGCCATTTTTAGAATAGAAAGCATCTTCCATTTGACTAAATTTCAGTCACGGACGGAAAAAACGAAGAATATAATCATGTACAAGTTGAGAACAGCAAGTAAGGAGAAATGAAGGAATGCCGGAGTCAGACCTGCAATCTACCTAGGCACATTACTTGCCTGACTCTTCTGGGAACCTGGGATCCCAAATGGGCCATCCTTTCTCCTCCTTGAGACTCTGCATAGGCTGACCTTCTATCTCATTCCATTTCTACCCTCTTTACCTGGATACCAGCCATTCCTCTTTCCAGTTCAGACAAGGTGACATCCATCGGCTGAAAGACCTCATACCCACCTTTGGAGGTGATCACGCCCTTCACCTGTGCACACCTTGACTGTCATGGAGGGTGTACTGACTCTGGTACAGTACCAATGATAGCGGTAGTTTCAATGATAACAGCTCCCCTAGGGTAATATGCTTAAATACTTTGTCCCAGTTGCTGGAACTATTTGGGAAGGATTAAGGGATGTGGGCTTGTTGGAGAGGTGGTCCCACTATAATGAGAATCATTAAATGGCAAGAAGAAAGAGCACCCATTACATCCCCACACAGGCTTTCACCTGGGTTTGTAGCCCCACCCTTCTTACAATGCTGGCACAAGGGAGTTCTTCCTTCGCCTTTAGGACCAGTGTGGGCTGCAGGGCCGGAAGAGCCTGGAGCTTGTCAGCACTGGGGGAAGACAAGACTAAGCCATCTTAATTAGGTGGGAAAGTTCTGAGTTCCACTTGCTGCAGGATGGAATCAGCTGCTACATCTCCTGAATGCTGGCCTGGGTCATCCCAGATAATAAAAGAGCAAACACTGGAGTCAAAGGAGTCAGTGTGGGAGTGGCTGGGTGTTCAGAACGCTGTTTGAAAACCATACAGTCTGTGTGGGTTAAAGAAATAACACACAGAGTTATCTAGGTGCTTTCACATTCCTTATTACACACGAGCAATCTCATACTGCGTGACAGCCAGCAAACGAATCCATATGCAGAGCTCCTAATGATCATTTCCTTGTGCATACACTTGAACCATGTACTAGGGGCGGACTGATGTTCTCAAAGACTCCAGTCTCCGAGGGAGGAAGAAATGTGGTGGAGCCCAGGCTGAAACAACATCACTGCAAGTATTTCTTTACTGAGAAAGACACGAAGCATGTTGGAACCAGGTTCAGACATGTTGCAATCCCACGTTTCCCCCCTTGTTATCCACCCACTGGAATTCTAAGAGCATCTTGTCTTAAGAGAAATGTCTGTTTGCGGGGACATCCTCTCTAACTCCAGGACAAGACATAACCCTCTCGTCCCCCTTTAACAGCCACAGCACTTGTTTCCACCAGTGGCTAGTCCATCATTGACTTCGTTTCTGCCTTCTGGATCATCTCATCCAGGATCCTAGAGAAATCGAGTGAGCAGGGCTGTGGCTGCTATTTACTCTTGAGTCACCAGGGCCTGGGAATCCGGCTTCAACAAAGGTTTGCTCAATCAATCAATGCATAGGCCCCCAGTCTCTCCACCTATAAGATGTAGTGTGGTAGTGGGTAGATCAAGGGACGCGTAAATGGATTAATAGATGCACAGATTCAATACATAGTAATTTCCTCCTCTGATCGCTTTCTATAGTGATGGGGTTCAGAAGCACAAACATGACAGCAGCCACTTCTTGCTGGCAAGAAGCAGCCTGGGGAAAGAGTTTTCTGTTAATAAATATCCTGCATGGATCTGAAGTTTAAAGGCAGGGGAAGCTGCCCAGTGGCAGTGGAGACATGAGATTGGCCCAGGGACCTGGATGTGTGCTGGGGCAGAAAGCTCATGACCATAGTAGGGTATGGACAACAAGAATACAGACATGCCAAAAGAGCCAGGCACCTGCAGCAAGAAAAGGAAATAATCCAAGAGAAGTGTCCCCACCCCCCAAATCTACTGTTCCCTTTCCAAGTTTCCAGAGGCTCTTGAAACTGGGCACAGTGGTATAACAATTGTAATCCCAACACTAGGGAGGCAGAAGCAGGAGGATGACAAGTTTGAGGTTAGCCTGGGGTATACACACACAAGGAAATGGAAAACAAAACCAAAGGTTCATGTATTTTGAGTTAGTATTTAACAACAGATGGTGCATTTGAGAGAGAGCGAGAGAGAGAGAGAGAGAGAGAGAGAGAGAGAGAGAGAGAGAGAGAGAGAGTAATTCCAAGGATAAACCCGACTGCCGTTTTGTAACTAACCCCATACTTATTGGCAAGGAATCAGTGCTCCAAGAAAGAGAGGAAGGAACTTCCGATGAGTGCCCACGAAGTGCTCAGTGCTTCGGGGTGGCCCTGTCATGTGTAAGCAGTCATCTGAGAGGGAACCACAACGGTTGTTTGGCAGAGGGATCCTCCTCTTGGAGCCGAACTGGTTTGGTCCAGGGGAACTGCAGCTTAACCAGGGGCCGGTGCTTCCAAATGGCTAAGGCCTCTCTTGCTCATACCCACCGCTTTGCGGTGACACCCTGCAACCGTGGCTGCGGCCTCGAGAGACGCACGCACACGGTGCTGACAAGGCCAGAGAGTTAGAAAGAAGGCGTACAAAGCCACACAGGAAGGGGCAGGTGTGGGATTCAAACTGAAGCCAGGACTTTCCACACGACAAGGGGATTTAGCTTAAGGCCTCTGAGCCAGTAATAAATATGCATTGGAGTGATAACTTGGAAGTTAATTGACTCATATATTAATTATAGATGGCAGCAAGTTATTTCTGAATTTTTTACCTGACTCCATCCCCCACCCTTGGAGCTGCAATCCTGCAGTTTCCTTAGGCCAAATCAGGCTTTCTGCGCCCCTTCCTGCCCTCTTCTCCCACCTTTCCCCAGAGCTTCCCGTAGTCCCATAGCTCCTTTAGATCCTCAAGGCTTTTGTGACACAATTCCCCAACCGTTTCCTGTGGATGAGATCCCTCCTTCTACAGCTCGGGTGCTCTTTCTCATCTTCTCTGAAAGCCCTGGTACCAGGCACCTAGTCTCTCCTATGCTGAGCCCCATTGGGTGTGGTGAACTGACCACTGAGTGGCTTGGTCCTTGCTGGTTTCCTCCCTGAGTCCTGGGGACGCCCACCAGGACGGGCTGCAGTGACATTGTCCTTTTCTCTCATCCACGGGAACATGTCAAAACGCTAGCTAGACTGATATCAGTTTGAATTAGTAGCTTCCGTAGGGGGGAAAAAGCATTAAAACAGGAGTATGGACGCTTAAAACATGGAAGAGTTTCTGGAAAAAGTGGAGGGAGGGTGTACACATTCAGAGAGCATACGGGAGACCTTTGACTCAGGCTGTGGAGAGTTAGCACTGGGCCTTTTCTCACCACAGTGTGAGTCCCAGCATGCAGAAGAAAAGCTTCTGTGATGCTCTTAAATTCCTCCAGGGAAACCACGGTTGCGACCACAGTTATCAGTTGGAAGACACTGTTCTTGGATCTGCAAGATGGCTCAGCAGGTAAAAGTGCTTGCTACCACACTTAAAACGTGACTTCGAGACTCACACTGGTGGAAGGAGAGAACTGACTCTTTCAGATTGTTCTCAGACCTACATAAGCTAAGTGCTCATATTTAATTTCTCAAAGTACAGACTTCAAGGCTGTATTCTACTACTTTGCCACTTGGTGGCACCATCGATCCGTTTAAAAACAAAAACGCTCTCCAGGCACGAACTTGGCTTTCCTCCTCACTGATCCCTCTGCCAACTAATTAGCAGGGCCAAAGACACTCCTTCATTCCTTCCTCAAGGGGAGCGGGCTCAGGGAACTCTTTTAAGGAGACTTCCCCATTGCTGATCCTGCGGAATGTCACTGTATATAGCAGGCCGTCCAAACCTGCAGCATGCTTAGGGCGGTTTCTTCAGGGGAGACTTTTCTGGCAAGTCTCTGGCAAGACACTCTATTTGGCTTGTTTAGGAAGAAAATGGCAGCATTTGGAGGTTTGTGTGTTTGTTTATTGGCTCGGCTATTCCACTCCTGGACACACAGATACAAGCACATTCCTGTTCACTGCCGCTCTATTCACAAGAGCAAGGAAATGGAACCAGCCTAGATGCGCGTTAACAGCTGAAGGGACATGGAAAACGTGGTGCATATATACAAATGGAATTTTATTCGGCTGTAAAGAAAAATGGCATTGAGGAAATCTGTAGAAAAATTGGTGGATTTGAGAATTAAGCAAGATGTCAGAAAGACAAAAACCCCATGTTTTTTTCTGATGCACAGTTCTTAGCCCATAGTGTGTGTGTGTGTGTGTGTGTGTGTGTGTGTGTGTGTGTGTGTGTGAGAGAGAGAGAGAGAGAGAGAGAGAGAGAGAGAGAGAGTTAGAGAGAGAGAGAGTTAGATAAAGTCTAACAGGCTAGAGAAGATACCAGAGAAGGTAAAAATAGGAGATGAGGAAGGTCAAGCAAGGATGGGCAAAAGGACACTTAGGAAACTCACTGGGGAGAGGAGTTAGAGCTACAATCAGGAGTAGCAGGGAGGATGGGGGATGGGAGGGGGAGGCCACTACTGTTTTGCAATAATGCTAA